GTCAACACCCTACTCGCTGCTTGCTTGCTTTTATTAAGATGCGTCTCACCACGGGAAGACCCGCCTCAGCACCCTGGCTGGGAATGCCACCACTGCTGACTCTCGTAGCCAAGGTCTTCCTGTGTTTCCCCTGAGCCTTGAGCTTGTGACCCTCTTGCCTCAGCCTCCTGAGCTGCTGGGACGGCAGGTGTGCACATGGCACCTGGCCTCTAGGTTGGACCAGGAATTGAACTCGGACCTCCCGTGTGGTCTCAGCCTGTGGAGCCCTGTGTCTCGGCCGCGCACACCACCATGACTGGATCCTCATTTGCTTTATTTGCGCTTCCTCTCTTTCTCTCTGACGAGATGACTTGCAAGGTCCCTTCTCCCACTGAGAGTTAGGTTTCTGCATGCTCAGGCTTCTTTCTAGAGAACAGGATGTCAGGGAAATTGGAACCCGGCTGGAGATGCTCCCCTCTGCATGGAGCAGACTCTGTTCTCCCAGTGCTGTCTGAGCGGGGCCTTCTCCCCTGCGTGGAGCGGACTCTGCTCTCCCAGTGCTGTCTGAGCTGGGCCTTCTCCCCTGCGTGGAGTGCAAACTGCTCTCCCAGCGCTTTCTGAGCGGGGCCTTCTCCCCTGAGTGGAGCAGACTCTGCTCTCCCAGCGCTGTCTGAGCGGGGCCTTCTCCCCTGCATGGAGTGCAAACTGTTCTCCCAGCACTGTCTGAGCTGGGCCTTCTCCCCTGCGTGGAGTGCAAACTGCTCTCCCAGCGCTGTCTGAGCGGGGCCTTCTCCCCTGCATGGAGTGGACTCTGCTCTCCCGGTGCTGTCTGAGCTGGGCCTTCTCCCCTGCGTGGAGTGCAAACTGCTCTCCCAGAGCTGTCTGAGCGGGGCCTTCTCCCCTGCATGGAGTGCAAACTGTTCTCCCAGCACTGTCTGAGCTGGGCCTTCTCCCCTGCGTGGAGTGCAAACTGCTCTCCCAGCGCTGTCTGAGCGGGGCCTTCTCCCCTGCATGGAGTGCAAACTGTTCTCCCAGCACTGTCTGAGCTGGGCCTTCTCCCCTGCGTGGAGTGCAAACTGCTCTCCCAGCGCTGTCTGAGTGGGGCCTTCTCCCCTGCGTGGAGCGGACTCTGCTCTCCCGGTGCTGTCTGAGCGGGGCCTTCTCCCTGACCTCAGCTCCTGTCACTCTCCATTTGGATCACCATGCTGCAGCGACAAACTTTTCTTTTCTCTCGTATTTGCTAAGCTTGTTTCTGATGCAGGGACTTTGCAGTTGCTAGTTCTGTCTCAGACACTCTTGGCTTTCCCACGGCTGGGTCCTTCAAGACTGCCTGACCCGCACCTCCCTCCCTCTCTCCCCGGCTCTCACAAGGTAGTCCAGTGCTTAACTTCCTCTCAACCTTCTCGCACCTTTTTGTTTGGAGATTTTTGCTGTAGGGTGTGTGTGCTCACCATAGAGAGAGACAGAAAGACATAAAGTGAGAAATCACTCCCCAGGGGGATGGTCACACTGCAATCCCTTCTCCTCTATTATCCTCTCAGGAGTTTGGGCACACACACATGTGTACCCCACATGAGGTTCAAGCCGCCAGGTCCAGGACTCAAACCGCAGTTGGCCATGTAGGAGTCCAGGGGCACAACCATTATGCCATCTGCTTGTCCCCCTCCTATCACCTCTTATTGTCTATAGTGATTTTGTTTATTTTCTTGTTTGCTTGCCTCTGGATTGTCACCCTTCTAGAATGTAAGTTCCGTGAACCCAGGCACCTTGTGTGTCTTATTTTTCACCGGGTCCTCAGTGCCTGGATCAGGGGACACTCAACAGATATTTGTTGAATGAACAACTAGGGGAACAAATGAGAATATCCAAAGATTCACCAAGACTAAGATGGATGCTAACACTGACAACTACACCTAACAGAAAGAATCGGACGGAGCCTAGAGAGGTAAAGAGAGAAACGCCTTGACGTGGTGGGGTGAATTCTAAGAGATGGAAGGTTTCTGCAGAAGTTTCCTTGGAAGGTGTCCCTTCCCAAGGAAGATGTGGACTTCTCCTGGAGGCCAGAGCACCTTCTGCTGCCGCCCACTTGAAAAGCGGGCATCTTGCTAACAGTCTCCAAAGAGAACACTTCTCCATGCCTACCACAAGGAAGGTGGGGTGGTTCCTTCTACTCTGGATGTCTACGGAACTGATCGAAAATGCTTCCATTCTTTCAGAAACTGGCTCTGAACACTCCTCCATGCTGAGATCTCCTTTGAAGGATCCCACAGGTTGTTCTACAGCAGAGCTGTGGACAGATGGGTTCCCACTGCCCCTTTGTCTAGGCTCAAGCTCACTTGGTCTGTCAGGATGCGACTGATCGGCCTCCACGGCCCATCAGATGGGAGGTGTTCACGCGGTTCCATTAAGAGGCCAGATTCTTTCTCTCATACATCCCCTTTCTGCCAGGTTTAATGATTTCTGATCACCTTGAGCACTGGATCTTTGCTCCGGGTGAAGTTTAAAAGCTTCTGAACTTGAAACTGGCCTCCTTCTCAACGGCAAAAGAGAGGTCCAGTCTCGCTTACTGTGGAAGTGGCCAAAAGTCCACAAGATCTGAAGAAAACCAGCCTCGGGGAAAATGGTTGCTAAAAGTTTCTGTGTATTTACTTAATGTGGTAAGTAAGGGTAGCTATCTAATGAAAAAGAGAAACTCACCATGTCATCAGTGAGAGAAAATGATGGGACAGCAGATGGCATAATGGTCACATTGCTGGATTCCCACGTAGTTGGCTGTGGTTTCGTCCCAGACCCAGCACCTTAAAACTCATGCCAGGTGCATGTGCGTGCATGACTAAAATCCCAAGAGGAGAATGGAGGAGAAGAAATCTCAGTGTGGCCATCCCCCCTGGGGAGTGATTTCTCACTTTCTGTCTCTCTGTCTCTCTGGTGAGTGCACGTGCCCCATAGCAAAAATCTCTTTCTTAAAAAAAAAAAAATCGATGAGAGAAAATGCTGATTTAAAATGTTTTAAAAGGAAAACATCCTAAGATTATGTCATTGCCACTGAGTCCAGCTATCCAGGCGGTGGTTCCATGGGGGGAGGAGAACAGAACCCTGCCAGGTTTGGATCCCAGCTCTGCAACACAACTGCTGTGTGACTCTGGGTAAGGCGCCCAGCTGCTCCTCTCCGCTCCTCAGTTTGCCCATCTGTGATGTAAACATCTTAGAGGTATTGAGCTTACAAAGTCTTAGGGTTTGTTGGGTTAATGTAAGTAGCGTGCTTATAATAGTAGGTTATTGGAAAAGTCATGATGCATTTTTCTACGTGCTTCTATCCAAAAATGCTCATGCCTTTTCCAACAGCCCGACAGTATGGAGCACATTAAGTGCTAATGAAGTACTCACTATTGTTTCTTTTCTCTTACTCCCACCGCAAATTAAAACAAAAGTCTTACATCTGCAAAGTACCTTGAGACTCATCACCTAGTTTGATCTTAACAACAGCATGGTGACATTGGTAGAAGTTTCTTTATATTAGGTTGTCAGTAAAGTCACATTTTCCACGTTTTTCTACGTAAAAATGTACTATGACTTTCCCAACAATCCAAAAGTAAGGAGTCGCAGGCTCAAGGTCATTTAGCTGATGAGTGGTGGAATCTGAACTTGAACCCAGGCCTCTCAATTCTGAGCTGGCAGCCTCTCCACGCAGTCTGCAGCCCGTGTCACCCATGACTCGCTGGGTCAACTCCGACATGGGCTCAGCCTTTGCAGAACGATACGTCCTTACGAGGCTTAGAGCCTAATGCCGCTGGGATGCCCTATAGGGACTGGAGCGTTTGGGGAATAGAAACCAGAAAAAAAACTATGAAAACTTCTACTGAAATTTACAAACTCTCTTCTGTGAGCGCTCTGACCCAAACGTGGAAACATTGCTTTCACTCATACACACACACAAAAAAATGGAGATAAGCAAAGCTAGAAAGACTTAATTATTTTCCTTGTCTTGTCTAAGCAAAATGCCAAAAGGAAACAGTTCAAGGGGAAGGTAAGTGGGCTTTACGCACGTCCACCCAGTTAGAGAGGTCTACAACTCCGGTAGCGGCAGAGGTGAGGCCCACCCATTTAAACACTGCACACATAATGCGAGGGTTATCTTAAGCCTTCCATCATCACCCCTGCTTCTCAGGACTCCAGTTTTTATCAGAGGAGGTCCAACTTTGGCAAGGTTAATGGTGACGCCTTCGAGTAATTACTTGGAAAACAATAACAAACATCATTTTGCTGTTTACTATTACAGTATCATTCCCATCGATATCCTTTTTTAATTTTCATATTTGCCCATCACAGAGAAAAGCAGAGAGGTTTTAATTTGATTTACAGAGGGAAAAACAACCCTGAATGCAGTTTTTTTTTTTTTTTTTTTTTGCAGGGGCGAGGGTGTGCAAGGAGAAAAGGTCAACCAGCTGGTTTTCATCCATATGCCATAATTCTCTGTTTAGTTTACACTATTAAACTCCAAAGCTTTGCTTTAATCTTAACTGTTACAGTATGCCTTATTGCAGATTCTATCATGTCGCATCCCTGATAGGGTTTCAGACTTTGGCAACACACCATCTCCCAAGCTGGCCCTGGCCATATGGGCAGTAAATGCATCCAACATTTTTTCATTGGCGCCTGCATCATTACGCTTTGTCACCAATGGTTTCTCGGGTTTTCGGAAAATCGCTGCATATACTGTGGTTTGCAGATGCTGAGAGAACTCCTCCAGTTATTTGTATACAGCCGAGTCTCATTAGGGCCTCCCTGTCCTGCTCTCCGTTTGGGGATGGCCTAACATCTGTTCTTCGCAAGCGGAGGGAAGGGGGTGTGAGTGGAGAAGCTGTAAAGGGAAAAGAAAACAGCAGGAGCCACCAATGTGAGGGAGAAGAGCTTTGCAGACAGTGCTTACCATACCCCAGAAAGGTAAAGGCAACGTCTTTATCTGGTAGGGCCTGTTCTACGTGACAGGAGGTTGGGGAAAGGTGAGGAGCGGAGCCTACCTGATCGGTCTTCGTTTTGCGAATCACATCTTCGGCACAGTTCTGGGATGGTCTTGAGTGACGTGACTGAATACTGAATGGGAAGCCAGAGGAGAAAGGGTGTAAAATAACAATTGAAAACGAGAGCATTCAGTCTAATTGGCCAAAAAAGAAAACATAGAAAGTGACATTTGAGTACGACATGGAAGTTCAGAAAGTCCATCTCACTTTACCCGAAGGAGGTTTCTCAGTGAGCTCACAGTAGCCCAGCTCCACCTTCAAGCATCTAAGCAGATGCAGATTTCAAAGGGGACGGGGCAGCCCTTCTTTCACAAAGGTGAGGTGTAACCGGCAGATACTCTATCTCCCATCACTTTTGCTACTGGTGGAAGATGGAAGAATTGTCCAACCTTGGCAGTTTTGAGCAGATGGCCATAATATTTGCATTCTGAATTCTAAAAGCCAGTTGATATAGGAGAAGCTAAGTTGGGTGTACCTAGCTTCCTGTAACACCCAGGGCAATCAGGAGACAGATCTGTGCCAATGCTGGGTAGACCATGAAAATAAAAATCCCCACTGTCGCCACTCGGCACAGATTGTACAGCGCTGTACTGAAATCTCCATGGGCACGTAGCCGGTGATGTCATCCAAAGCAAGAGGAGCAGGGCTGTGTATGTGAAAGCTTGTCTACCACATCTAGAGATTGCTTTGAAGTTTAAGAATCCAGCTTCCACAGAACCAGCAGATGGTATAATGGTTGTGTCGCTGGACTCCCATGTAGTCAACTGCAGTTTGAGTCCCGGACCTGGTGGTTTTGGGTACGCACTCTGTGTGCTTGTGTGCCAGAAATCCCAAGAGGGGAATGGAGGAGAAGAGCCTATGGCATGGCCATCCCACTGAGGGGTAATTTCTTGCTTTCTTGCTCTCTGTCTCTCTGGTGAGTGCATAAACCCTATAGCAAAAACCTCTCTAAAAAAAAATTAGGAATGGAGTCAGCAGTTAGTGTAATGGCTATGTTGCTGGACTCCCACATAGTCGACCGCGGTTTGAGTCCCGGACCTGGTGGTTTTGGGTACGCACTCTGTGTGCTTGTGTGCCAGAAATCCCAAGAGGGGAATGGAGGAAAAGAGCCTATGGCATGGCCATCCCACTGAGGGGTGGTTTCTTGCTTTCTATCTCTCTGTCTCTCTCTGTCTTTCTGGCGAGTGCACGCACCCTATAGAAAAAAACTCTCAAAAAAAAATAGTAATATTACAGCTTCCAGGCTCAGTCCCATACTAACTCAAAACTCAGCTATAAGGATAACAAATTATCAAATAAGGAGACATAAAACTGGAAGAGTTAAAAACAAATGCAAAATCAATAGCTACGATTTACAGGGACTGTATTTGATGCTAATCAATCTTTCTTTAGAGAAAAGTGTTTTAAAACAAAATAAATAGTATGAATTCTTTCTTTAACCAAAGTCTAAGTAACTCAGGGACTGTCTTCAATCATGCTCATCCTTTAGCTTATAAAATATAGCTTCCGAACAATAGCTTTCTCTGTACCTTTAAAAATAATTCTCTTACATAAATGAGTACATAGCCTGAATTGCATCACTCCTGCAAAATTGGGAGGGGGTTAACAAAAAACAGTGACTCTAAAAGAAAAACGATCGTGGGAAACTCATTAGGATTATCCTAGCATTACCGGTGAGCGACGTGTAATTAGGACACGTTTCTCAGTAAGAAGGTAGTTTAGTTACTCGATGTTGATAGATGACGCAGAGGGAGACCTCCCAGTGCTTTTCAAGGGATCTCAGCACAGAAGACAAAGGGAGGGGCAGTTGTAGCTATTGTCAGTTTGCCAATTGCATGTGACAAACAAATTAAATTTCCAGTATTTCCAAGTGAAAAATGAAATCTCAGATGACTAATTAGAGAAATTACTCTCACCTGTCTGATGCAATAACATCCTGTTTATGGGAGCCATTCCTCAGAGACTCCAAGTGCTCTAGCAAATCGTCTTACATACTCAGGAGGGAAGGGCGACTGTCTCTGAAACCAAAAGTGACCTCGCGGTATTGATTCCTATTACATGTGTGCTTTGGGGGTCCATGGGAACACGGGTACAGAGGCATTTTTCTTGTTGCTGAGAAAGTACCTTCTGTTTCTGGCCAAGTACGATCTCTCTAAGGAATCCAGTAGCTTCCTGAGACCAGCTGGTACAGGTTAAATAATTACAGTCTATAATTCAATTAAAATGGGGCCTTTTGTGTTGGTTGCCATGTGCCCTATGAAACACCCTTTGGTAAAGTTTCGTCCTCTCTCTCTCTCTCTTTCTTTTTGGGTTTTGTTTTTCTTGCAAGACAAAATCTAGGAAAGGGAAATTAAGATTGATTGTGTTTAAGTATAGTTAATGATAAATTCAATAAGCTTTGTTCACTGGGCTTAATGATGTACATCCGATTAAAATGGTGGCCTGCTATCTGCATTTCCAGGCATACGCATCCTACCCTCCACTCCCCACCCACCCTCAGACACACCAGAATCTCTGGTTTATTAGCCAGAGCCTCGACTCTTCCTATTTGACCTTAGAGGTCCATCGTGGGCAGTAAGTAGTAATCGGATGAGGCTTGGATTTGAACAGCATATGCAGCGGCTGCTGTAAGAGCCGAGTCACAGGCCGGGACAGGCCTGCCGAGCCACTCGCACTAGTTTTGTCCCCTGGCCCAGTCGTGTGGGAGGTCACTTCTGTGAAAGCATACGTTTTAATTCCTCAATGACCTGGATGAAAAAGTCACGTGCTGCCCCAGGGAGTGCACAACACAAGAGCAGCCATATAACAAAAGAATGGTGAGTTGACCGGAAAGGTACAGCGTTGAATAATCCGGTGCACAGAATACCCACTCGGCCATGACTCCAGTCCACGCTGTTCTTATACAGAGACGTAAGAAAGTCAGTGTGTGAATTTGCTAAGTTTTGCTGCTGAAGATTTACTTCTCAAGGCCAAGCTAAGGGAACGCTGGAAAGGTGGTTGTGACGTTAAGAAATGCAGGACCACACCATGCACAGAGCCAGCACGGAGACACCTCCTCACTTTGCAAATGAGGAAATCGGCAATGACCCAGGAAGTCTCCCTTGGGAGACGGCACTGTGCTACCGTCTGGGAGCTGCACGGGTGGCTTCCCAGGCCTTATCCCAACTCCCAGACAGATGGCCTTTTCTAGGAAGCCACAGGGCACTAGCTGACCCGCCTCACTCAGGACAACGGCCAGTTCCAGGGCAGTACTTGCTTTCACTTCAACCAGGTCAGATTCAGCGCCCAATCCACCTTCCTCTCTCCTGACCCCGAAACCCGAGCTCAGGCAGCGTGTTCCCTCGAGTCCCATTATCCTCGGAGGTAAGAGAGGACAGGGGGCCTGCGCTGAGCCGAGAAGCGCTGTATTTCTTACCACTGTGTTGTTCTGATTCATTCCTCTGCTAGAATTCTTTCAGAGGTCATTCCTTGTGGAAACAGCCTTTTTGATCCGAACTTCCTTTTCCCTTCACTGCATCTCAGGAAAGGCCCCTGCTAAAGACTGACCAGCTGCCGCAGCCTCCTTGAAACCCCTGTGCATCTAAGTGGAGCAGGCAGTCGGTTCCTGCACTCTGGGGTGCCTGCCTGCAAGGCCTTCCTCTAGCCCTGTGAATCCACCCTTCCTCAGGCCAGCCTGCATTCTGCCCGCTCCATGAAGCTTCGGCTGATGGCTTCAGCCCTCACTGACCGTTCTCTTTTCTGCCTTTGGCAAATTTCTGCCTCATGCTCTGCTCCATCCTTCCCCGTTTGTAAGCACGGGGATGCACCGTGGCTTGCTCTGTGTGTTGGCTCCCAGGGGCAATGGTGAGAAAGCACGAACACTCCACCACGCAGGCACTAATGAACCCATTTGACTGAAATACCTCGCTCTCCACACACCCGACGATCCCTGTGTAGAATATTACAGATGTTCAAAGGAGCTCTTTCATGTTGAGGTAGGATGAGAATTTCCTCCAAGTCTTCCTCTTGGCACTAGACTTAATTAGCTTTCTCTAAAAATAGCACTTCCATATGCTAAAGCAATCGCGTTACCAGGCGGCTAGCGTAAAGGACAGGAAATGAGGATGTTGCGAACTGTCTGGAACGCCATGACTGCTGCAGCAGAGCCCACGACAGCCCGGGCACAGTGCAGCTACGTGTCCGTCTACTGATAACGGGACAGAGAGAGCGTAGTAGACACACACGCACACGCGCACAGACACGCACATGCACGCACACTGTGCAGCCACTAGAAAGGATGAAATCCAGGCATTTGAGGTTGAATGGAAAAGCCTGGAAGACATTACGTGAAGTGAAATGAGCCAGACACAGAGGAAAGGCCCCATGTCCTCACTCACATGCTGACATTGAAACAATGACTTCACAGAGGCAAGGGGATGGGGAAAGACTGCCGGATGCTGGGAACGACTGGGGGGCTAGAGAAAGGGTAATGGAAACTAAATTGCAGTTGGCGTAATGGCTATGTCGCTGGACTCCCACGTAGTCGACCCCAATTCGAGTCCTGGACCTGGTGGTTTAGACTCACACCGGGCGTGTGTGCGTGCGTGCCCAAGATCCTGACAGGAGAATAGAGGAGAAGGGATTGCGGCCATCACCCCTGGGGGGTTGATTTCTTGCTTTCTGTCTCTCTGTCTGTCTCTGTCTTTCTGGTGAGTGCACGCGCCCTATAGCAAAAACCTCTCCAAAATCGCAGCTAGAGGGAACCATGCCTAGTGTTCTGAAACGCGGCGGGGGAGAGTGCGGTTAACAAGGACCCAGTGGTTGGGACAATGGGGACGCTGCCACTTTCACTTGACCCTTACACGTCATATCCACGTACAGAAAAACTGCATTGTCACAACGGTTACACTAATAAAAATGATTAAACTTTAAAAAATAATTACCCAGCTTTCTTACAATGCAAATCTGAACAGGGTGTGTCTGTTGTAAATCCTTCCAAGGCTCTGCACAGCCCACAGGACAAAGACCACATGCCTAGCGTGGCACAAGGAGCCTCTAGGAGGGACCAGCAGGTGACATGGTGAGTAAGGCGCT